AATAGCTCTGCGTTCTTGCAACTGACTTTACTAAGACGGAGAAAACCATGTGCACAACAGATTTTGAGGCAAAATGAGAAGTTTGGTTTTAAGCATATTAAGTTTTAGATGCTAGTATAAGAACTTTATAAAATTTTTTGAGACATAAATAGTGTTCTGAGCATAGCACTGACATGTTCTGACTCACACAAAAATTCTAGCTACTATATTAAGAACCTAGAGGATAAGCTGGGTACAGGGCACATGCATGTAATCTTGGCATTCTGGCAGACTGAGGAAAAGAGGACCACAAGCTTACGCCCAGACAGGGCACCTGAAACTCTGTCCCAAAATAAATAAAAAGGGATAGAGATGATCACTCATTGTAAAGGCTCTAGGTTCAACCTCAGTACCACAACGTGGGAAAAATACCCTGGAGGAAGTTAGGGGGAAGAAACAAAGGCACCAAGCTAGAAGACTACTTCAGCCAATGGAAGAATGAAGTAATGGGTTGGTGCAGATTGTAAATGCAGTGAAGACAATGAAAAATGAAGATTCTGAACACATTTTAAGGTAGAGCTGACAGAATTAGCTGGTGGGATGAATGTAAGGACAAGAGAAAAGTAGCCAAGGAATATCCCAAAGTTTTTGCCCAAAACAAAAGGATAAAATGTCAAAGCCAGACTCTAGATGCTCCAATATTCAGAAGCTAGAAAGCTGAGAAGGCATGAAGAGTAGGGACTGAGAAGAAATTGTAAGGAATGACAGGTGACCCAGAACAGAGTGGTATTCTGACAGCTCTGGTGTTTTCAGGAGGAAGATCCAATCAATCTAGTCAAGTACTGCTCGCTAAGATGAAAACAAATTGATCACTGTATTTTTAATGTCATCAGTGACCTCAGTCAAAACAGCAGGAGGAAAGACCGACTAGAATTGATACAACAGAAAAATCAAGAGACAAGTATCTTTTTGCAAAAGGGGGCGAGATCAAGAGATGGAAGAAGGGGGGGGGGTGACGAAAAAAGACGTATTATTGGACCAAGCAGGTTAGCACACCCCTGAAATACCAGCACTCCAGAAGCTGAGGCCAGCCTCAACTACATGAGTTCAAGGCCAGCCTGAATTACATAGTGAAACTGTCTCCAAAAACCAAAACAACGAAGAACAAAAAAATGTGTTACGGACATGTACTAACTCCCCAGGAGGAAAGTAATCACTATGTACTAGAGACAGGTACCAACTGAAAAACAAAGACATGAAGTCTTGCAAGAAACAAAGAATACATGACAGTTTGGAAAAATAGGGTCAAATTTTTATTTAAGATAGGAGAAATTAAAGCATGTTTATGCAGACATGAATAAGTTTTTCCAAACAACCTGATAATACGACAGCGAGAACTGCTAGAACAATGTTTTCCAACACGCAAAAGCCGATGGCCTAAGAATGGAGTGTAGGTATTCCAATTATAACAAAAAAAATTTGGGCAATATTGTACCAGCAAAGATACAGATAAGCAGGCAGGTGGCACGAAAATTCTTTTCTGAATTCTATTTCTCAGTGAGTCAAGAAGCAAGGAAAAGAAGAAATGCTGAAGGTGTGAGAAGTTTTAACACATGAGTAACCTATAAAGGTGGGACAGTGGGAGTGTAATGGAAAGGGTGTAGAAGTGCAGTGATGACTGTCTAGCAGCAAGAAGGGCTTGAGGTCTTTGGTCACTAACAAGTTTATAAAGCAAAAAGAGCTGCATGTGTGTCTGCTTCACCAACCTCTCTCAACTTGTGAGCATAGTCAGAGTTCAACTTGAATTACCACTGATTTCTCCATTCAAGTCACCTCCCCATGGTGGTCTTCTCTGACCATAAATCCTATCCTTACATACTTGCCATTTCATCACCTTGTCTTCACTATTATGACCTGAAAATATCTTTGTAATTTATCATCTCTCCCCTCCCCCGCCCCTTTGCAGCCTTCAATTCCTGAAACCCAACTCCTGACCCCTGACAATGCAGGACAAAAAAAACTGTCTGTACTGAGTCCAGCCCCATGCCCAGGTCTGAGGAACAGATTCCGAGCCACAATAATCTCTCAATAAGTTATTCCTGAAACAAATCGGTAAAAAGATAATTTAAGTGAAGCCGGGCATGGTGGTGCACGCGTGTATTCCCAGTACTTGGGAGGCTGAGGTAGGAGGATCAGTGCGAGTTCAAGGCCAGCCTAGACAACACAGTGAGTTTAAAGCAGGCCTGAACCACACAGACCCTGTCTCAAAAAAAAAAAAAAAAAAGACAAAGGATGAGAGAAAGATAATTTAGGTGAAAGTGCACTATAAACAGTAAATATTTTTTAAAAGTAAGAAATTACTAAATTTCTCTTACTAATCTCGGTTCAAAAACCCGTGGACTTTCTCTTAGGAGAAACTCAGAGTAAAAATAAAGAGCAAATCAAAAGACAGGTATTATTAGGGAGATAAATCGTTGCCAAAGGGGGAGGAGAGCAAGAGATAGAGCTAGAGGGGATAGAGGGAAGGAATAAAACGATGAAAAAACAGAACTGAGATGTTATAGACATGTACCGACTCCACACAAGGAATGTAAACATTATGTACGGAAAACGTACAAAAACAAGGGAGATCAAGAGATAGGTGGGGGGGATGAAAAAAGGAATTAAGACGTGTTATGTACACGTACTAACTTCCCACAAGAAAGGTAAACATGTACTACACACATTAATACACTAAAATTTATAAACACAAAAAGTGATAATCACCGCCAATGTTAGTTTGGTAATAATCTGAATGCAAGACTCCGGCACTTTCTCCCATTCCTACAGGGTCGCGGCGCGCCTCCAGGGTCCGGCCAGGAGAAATCCCAGAAATGCCCGCAGGCAGCGCCCTCCTCCTCCCAGCCCGTGTACGTTGGGCTGAGGAAAAAGCAACCACCCCAACCTCCAGCCCAGAGCGTTGTTGCTGCTCAGCCCGGAGTCGCCTAACTGGAGGCATTTGTTGACGATGGGCTCCCAAGCTTCCCCTGCTCACCAGAAGCCCTCCGGGCACCCAGAAGCCCTCCCCGGACAACAGTCCTCGGTCCTCCACTCTTGCCCGCCCGTCCTGCTCTACTTCGAGCTCCGGCGGCGGGCAGGGACACAACAGCCCCGGGACGCCCGGCTCTCGCCCCACGAGCACAGCAAGGAAACACCCTAGGCACCCCTGCCCTCTCCCTAGCCCCACAGCCCCTCACCTGCTGCAACATGGCGACCCTGCGCCAGCCCCACTTCCGGGGGCCACGTCAGCGCAGCCGCCACACAGTCCGGCGTGCAACTTCTGCAGACGCGTCACTATAGGCCAGGAAGGGGTTCTTGATGTAAAACTCCGGTCCTACTTTCTAGCACCACTTCCGCTTCTAGGCATTGCCGAAGGGAGGAGCAACTCCAGGCTGTGAGAGCTGGGGGTAGGGCTGTACCTGGACTGGGCAAGATGGTGGGCAAGGCGATGTGGAAGCCGGAGCTGGGTCTGATCCAATTAGAAGCAAGATACCAGTTTGGAACGGATCCCGGAACTACAGTCACATCTAATAGGAAGCTACGCGGTTTCTCACTGGGTAAAAATGTTTTCCGCTACCCGTAAAGTGCAAACTGTAAAGTCATTACTGCCGGCGTCAGCGCCCTGAGTGTGAGGGGCGGAGCTTTATTCCATAATTTGAGTATTTTACAACCACCTGTTTTCCTGTACAGTATTACTTTTGCATATTAAATTTTAGAAGCAATCGAAAAAAATAAATGTGCTCTGCAAAGCGGTAAAAAGGAAAACAAAGCAAAAGGACTTTGTTTTAAGCAACGCAGGGCATTTTGGGAAGGGGATAACCTGAGACGCCCGAAAACAAAAAGGAATAGAGGTTGACACTCGCACCCTGAAGTTTGGGCCCCTGGGTTTCAACCCCTGCCCGCTATTACCAATTACTTAATCCTCTACTTGTTTCCTCAGTCGTTAAGTAGGAGTGGACGATATCTTTACAGGATATTTAGTAAGTGGGACACGTTATTTTTATTCCTGTTTGAAATTCAGCCGCTAATGGTGTGATTTTACCTAGAACTAAAATTCAGGGGCTTTCGAGGCATCCTGGAAGCTATGATGATAAGAATAGCCTATCTGCCTGACCTAAGTCAGAGTACTGTTGGAAGACTATAGTACTATGGGATTCTCTTCATAAGAACTACAGATTTTAGGCTGGAGGTGTAGTTGAGTGGTAGAGTGCTTGCTTAGCATGTGGGACGCTATAGGTTGGACTCCCTCCTTGCACTCAGAAATTTTTTTTCACATGCGTACTTATCAGCACTATTTTAAACCTAATGTCCAAATAGTGAAGAAATAAACACACGCGCGCGCACACACACACACACACACACAAAGACACATTTCCCAAAGGAGCGAGAGAGTTTGGCAAAGTAAATACATGCTTGCTCTTGGAAATGGATAGATGATGTGTGCATCTAGCCTGTCTGAAGCATATTTTTTTGGTGGCCTACTCAGTGTTGTGGAGTTTTATGGAACTGTCTTTTTTGTTGTTTTTACTTTTGTTATGCATTCTATCTCAATTCCTTATTCTTTAAAAATGTAAGGTGAAATCTGGCCATGCTGAACCATGAAGTAGAACCTGTCTCCTGTGGATGGAGCTTGGACTCTTCAGTGGGCCATAGCCCCCGTTGGGGGACTGCACTTCTCTGTATTACCTGTCTGATCTCTGACTACCCTCCAAAGGTTTAAGTAGAACTCTCAACCCACTTGATATTAGTATCCCTCTTTGTTGGGAGGCTGAAAATGCTTAATTCTTTTCCAAAGGAGTTAGTCTTAAGAAAGAAACACACAGAAAATGTTTTCAAATATGTCAACCTGTCTAGAGCTTTACCCTTTTAGGGTAACTGAACTCACTTTAATTTCCATACCAAAATATATGCAAATTTCAATTTGTTATTATGATACAATCCTGTTACTTTGTTTCCTGAAAGAAATGTCATCTTGAAATTGGTTGTGATAAATGGTATTTAATTTTACAGTATCTCTCTACCACCTATCAATGAAATTGAACTTCCTAAGTCTCACTGAATGGTTTCCAGTGAAAATGCAGAGGCCAGTATCTACCATCCTCCTCCTTTCTTACTTTGATAATATCAGTACTTTGGCTGGTAGGAACATAGGTGTTTCCACAGTAAGTGTCAGGAAATTGTCAAAGAAAAGAGGAAAAGAAGAAGGGAGGGCAGGCAGGCAGGGCAGGACCAAACACAAATACCCACTTGGCTTTCTGTTCACTGTAAAACATTGTAATTTCCCAAAACTCCTTTAGATAAATACATTTTGTCCAAGTTCAGGGGCTGCTATTTTCCCTTGCTTTATGAAATTGTCAATAGGCAGACCTTTGATCTTCCGGATCCAAGCAGCCTTGCTTTCTTTTCCTGGACTGACCACTCTAGTGGGCTCACTGGCCTGATATTCTCTCATTTTGGCTTCCTCATACTCTTTCTCTTCCTTCACGGTTAACAGCATGAACTCTGTGTTCATTCGAAGAGGATCCAGAGTTGTGTAGAAGTGAGGTCGTTCTTTCTTGAGAGTCAGAGTAGCCAGGCTCACTTGTGGAACTGACATGTGGCTGCGTTTAATGACCTGCATGCTGATCAGGGGGCCTCTACTGCCCACTGCTTTTTCAATTGAACTGGTCAAGTGGTGTTCACCTTTTAAGCTCTCAGAGAATTTGGGGCGGATGACCATGGGCTGGGGTATGGTAGACTGGACTCCAGGACTCTGCAAAGACTTCTTCAAATTGGGCTTCAGTTTCTGGAATTCAAGGGAAGTACTGGTTTGTTTTACATCTATGGGAACATTATTGAATTTCAACCAATCAACTGCATGTTGGATTGACTTTCCCTTAAAATTCAGGACCTTTCTCGGGTATGAAATTGAAGGTACCCGGGCATCAGTGACTTGGGATTGGGGCTTATGGGGATAGGCAAATTGTCCAGAATTATGGGCTTGTTGCAAGGCACTGACAGTCAGAAGAAAGCGGTCAGGTGACATAGGCTTTTTCCAGGACTTTTTCTTTGAACGCCTGATTGATTTTGTAGGAATTTTCACTTGTGTTTGTATCTGTAGTTTCTGCACACTGTCGGCTTTAATAAAAAAAAAAAGAAAATCAGCATTCTATGCAAGTATTCTATGAAAATATTAAATATTAACTTATGCATGAAAGTTAAAGCCATCCTAACTTTCTAAACTGCTAGGCACATGAAATGTTGTTGCCCAACAGGCATGCCAACATGTGTCAATCATCCATGGTGATATCAGAAATGATGATACCAGAAATGATTTAAAAGTAAGTTTTAAACAAATGTGCTAAACTCATATAAAATGTGTATTAGCTTTTAGTTATGCATATTTTGAGGGCATGTGTGATTCCAGTATTCCACAAATTTTTGAAAGTTCCCTGTAGAAATGACCTGCACATATGATTCATACAAAATAGATTTTATGTATATTAATAATATACATATATTTTCAATGATAATTATATCACAAAGTTTGATGTCCATTTTACTAATGAGATTTGACTTCCATTGATCTTGGACATTTCCCAAAATCAGACCTGCCTTTGAAGATTGTATCACCTCTGGGCAATGTAAAACATTATAACATGATTAAAAATAATCTGCAGGTTCAAAAGCCAGTGACCAGAACAAGAGAATCCTTCACATATATCACTTTATGGGAAGAGACTTCTGGGGAGTCTAAGACCAGTAAGTCAATGAAAATATCTTCATAGGTAAGCAAATATATTATCTCAGTCCCTTTTAGGATTTTCAGTCCCTGCAATACCTTGCTGATAACATTATCCTCACTTTCAGAAGAAATAACAGTCATGAAAAGTACAAGTTATTATTCTGGAACCTAACAAGTAAGAGTCAAAGTCTGAAACCCAAGCTATACCAGCACATAAAATACAACAATGTGTTACATGTATAATTCCCATTGGCCAAATAGTTTTTATCCCAAGATGGACAGATTAGGGTAAAATGAAAATTCAAATTGTTTTCTGACAATATTTTATTAAAATATATAAAACTGAGTGAATTAAGATATAAAAATCTCCCCTGTCCTTCCAAACCCCAAAAACAAAGAATTTTTCTCCATTTATTAAAAACAGGAATTAGAATGAGCTCCTTGTTCATTAAGTTGCCTTATTTGCATAATTAAATATCTTTGACATCTTTCCAAGTCTATATTAATTCCCATCATAGAATTATTAGCTGTCTTGCAATATTCCAGATATAGATTGTGTATTATCTTTTTAGCCATTGCCCACTGTTGGACATTTAATTAATGATCAACCTTAAAGAAACACAGACACCATTTTTACCTAATATGTAAGCATGGACAAGGTGATAGATAACACCCAAAGTTGGCCTGGATATGAGAAGAGCTCTCATGCGTTGTTAGTGGGAGTGCAAATTAATACTGCACTTTTAAGGCTAACCATGGCAATAACTTTGTAGTTTTTAAGTGCATTTATCTTTTGGCTCAGCAACTTCACTCCCTGGACTTTACAACTATAGGCAGGCTTGTTCAGGTTTACAGGCGCAGGTATATGCAGGATGTTCAAAATTAGCATAATTTTCATCAAACTTTATTATTTTTACCTTTCCTTGAAATAAGTCTGCTACAAAGAAAGACTACTAAAGAATATTTGAAAGAAATTGTTACCAGTGTCCTTCAAAAACAGTAAAGGGACAGTCCAGCCATGATATCCAGCAACTCTGCTTTATTTCTTTGATTTTTCTGAGATTTTGTTTTTGTTTTTGTTTACAGTAATGGGAATTTAACCCAAGGCCTTTGTACTGAGCTACATGCCCAGCCCTTGTTTAAATTTTAATTTTTTTATTTTTTGAGACAAAGTCTTCCTAAGTAACTGAGTTCATCAGGCAGGCCTTGAGTTTTGTTATCCTCCTGACCCAGCCTTCCAAAGTACAAGGATTACAGATGTGCACCATCATGCCTGACTCTAGCAGCTCTTCTTACACTCTCAATCTCTCTCTCCCTCTCGCCCATAGTTCTTTATCTCACATGCACAGCATATCCCCGCCCCCCCGCAAAATCTCTCTCACGAAATCCGCTATAGCAAGCCCAACCAGCCCAACCTCCTCTTCGGCCTTCTGCTGTGCCCGTTATTCACACAGCAGCACACTGTGCAAGAAGCCACAGAGTGGCAGTAGACTGTGAGCCTTGGATCTTAGGAAGGTTCTTGCTTTAGACACTCAAGCGGACAATTACAGAAAACCAGTCACTGTAAAGCGAAGCTAGACCTTGTATCCATTCTGAATCCTCAAAGATAAGCTAAAATGTGCTAAAAACAAAACTAAAGGAGAGCATGCACGCAAAAGGGAGAGAAAGACAGAGAGATAGAGACTGGATCCTGGATCTTGCCACTAATTTAGAATACAGCATCACTATCTTATCTCCTGTCTTGGATTTTTCTTCCCCGTTCTCTTGCCCACCTCCATGCCATTTACTCTCCTATGAACAGAACTAATTCTCTTGTGGCTTTGGGGTAACTTTGGTTTATCTTTAAGGTATCTCTATGAATACGGCTAATGTAAGACTGAGGAAGAAACTGTAGTAGTTACATAACTAGGTCTGAATAATGGGGCCAAAGCAATAGAAATATCAGTAATAATGGGGGCTCATAATTCAACTGCTTTTTCACTCAAAATGGCACCGTGGTGGTTACTCTGATATTAAACTAAGTAGTCACCTAAAGTCTAATGTCTAGATCACTTCCTGACTCCCCTTCCTCATACTTTTTCTACTGAATATCAACCTCTAAGCATTATCTAAACCTCTTGACTCCTCAAGATTGGCTATTTGTAGAATGATATGCTTGGAGGTAATCTATTGGTGTTCTGTATAGATCTGTGCATCAAATTTCATGCCACATATAAGACAGGTAAAAGGAGGGAGTTTTGCTACTCTGGCCTGCATATAATTTATTCTTTAGATGTTATAAATGGCACACCCCCACTTACACACTCCCACATATGTACACATGTACACATGTACATATGCACACATATACAAACTTGATTTATAACTAATATTTTCCAAGTACACACACTATCTCTCAAAGGTCTAAAGATAATACATTTTGCATAGAACATTTTTCTACTTATAGTAACTTCTTATCTCTGTTCTGAGGAAATATATAATATAGTATGTTATATAATATTTGTTTGAATTCGGGGGGTAAGAGATGTTGGTTGCTTTTTTAAATGGCAAGTGTAAGGTTACTATATAATCTATACAAAGATGCTAATAAATTTGAAAATCTAGATCATGAAAGTCAAGAGGTTCCTTTTAGCTGGCTAACAAATTTATGGATCAAAGAAAATGGTTCCCACCTTCCTGAAGGGTTAGGATTTATATCATCAGGAAACCCTTGGCCAAAATATCCTACAAAGAAACCAGTCCTGGATTCCCCTCCCCTGCTCCATTGGTTACCACTGAGATTGTTTGCAATTCAGCTCCTTTACCTGCAGATAACTTGCTTGGATTCAGACGAAGGTGAGACTTGTGAGGCTTATTGAGTAGTAACTCCTGGTTGACAATATGTTTACTGGATACAGATTCTTTTAGGCTGTGAATCTGAGTGCTAGACTTGGCAAGAATGTCCAGAAGACTGTTTTCTTCCTTTTCCTCCTCTTTATCCTTATTCTTCTTTTGTTTACTTCTGTCCTGCGAGTACTGCCACTTTATATTCTCAAACTGGAACATGAGAATATTGCTCTCTGTGTTGACCACCATCCTGGAACCAAAACAAGATTGCCCACCAGAGGAGCATGGAGGCTACCAAAATACTCATTTTCGTTACTGTCCCATCAGATCCCTAGGTCAAGAGAGTTGTGCAATAATCATACAAAAAATGCTAGTGTAGGGTGTTGGTGGGTGGGGAGCAGTGAAAGGGACCAGGCCACACAGTGGGTGCTTAGCTTTGTTACTGTTTTCTTTAGTAAACAAACAAACATGAACAGAGCACATGTCTTCTGATTGCTTTGCTTCTCGAGTTATAATTTTTTTCTTTTTCTTTTTTTAGTACTGGGATTGAAACCAGGGCTCACAATTAGCCACATCCTCAGACTTCTTTAAAATTTTACAACAGGCTCTCAATAAATTGCCCAAGATGGCCTTGAACTTGTGATCCTCCTGCCTCAGTCTCTCAAGTAACTAGAACTACAGATATGAGCCACCACACCCAGCCTAGAATATTTTTTCAATGAATTTTCAGATGCCTACAGCAACCAAGGAAGAAGCGTAGGTATTCTGCACACGATTGTCTTCATATTCACTCTCTTTTAAATTGTATTTATTTTTTTCCTGAGACCTAAATTTTTCAGGCCCGCTATTTCTATTCCTGAAGTGAGAATGAAAACGCTATCCTAGAGAGGCTTTCTGTGCTCTGCTGACCTCCACACAGACAGACCACTCTCCTTCATGCTATCCCTCTGGACATAATCCAGATGTTGACAGTGCACATTATAAGGCAGGATGATTTCTCTCTTCTCTCATGCCCTTCCCCAACACCACTGTTTTTACACAGAGCAAACTGCTTCTTTCTGTCTGTGTCAGATCTCTTGTAACTATGAACAAGAAATGGAAATACTGTGTATAGGCTCCTTTCTGCTCCAAAGGCTGCAATTTTAAGGCCTTAACTACTAGTGTAAGCTTTCTAGAAAAGTGATATGTTTGGGATGGAAACATTGGATAGAATTTGAGAGACCAAATTCCACTAAGAAATATTTGCAGACTTTTTTTTAACTCAAGATAAAAGAAATTGTCCCTTTTGGGATGCTGTGAATGAGAAAAGGTTAGAGCTGATTTTTTTTTCTTTTTGAGGGAGCGGAATGCTGGAGATTGAACCCAGTACCTCACATATGATAAGCACAAGCCCTAAAAGAGCTATTTCCCTTGGGGGCTGGGGATTTAGCTCAGCGGCAAAAAAGCGCCTGCCTGGCAAGCGCAAGGTCGTGAGTTCGGTTCCCGGTACCGGAGAAAAACCAAAAAAACAAAAAAAAAAAAAAAAAAAAAAAAAAAAAAAAAAAAAAAAAAAAAAAAAGAGCTATTTCCCAAGCCTCTGACAACAATATTACTTCATAACTAAAAGTACTTATTTATTGAGCCTCACTACTGCTTTTTCCTTTGATGGTCAATAGTATTAATGACCTTTCATTATACAGAAGGCAGTATGGTTAGGGAGATTAAATGGGTAAGTTTGGGATAAAATGTACAAGTTTATTGTATTTGGTTGTTTTCGCATAATATCACCCTGAAGAAATTCGTACATAACAAGCACTGTACTGCATACTGTGAGTTCAGTCATCATACTGGTTTCTGCAAACTCACCTGCTCAGCTCTCTCTCATAGATTTCCCTCACTGGACCTCCTTCACTGTGACCTCCCTCCCTCATCCTTCTGTAGGTGTCTCCGCACCAGAAGTGGATGACAATGACAGTAAACAGAGTGCTGAGCAGTTGAATATATGATCAAGAGGAAGAGGGGCTGAACATTAGCACAAGCGTGGTCCTGACAGAAGAACTATTCTATACCCACTGCATGATTTACTCATATACCAGAATGGATTGAGTCAAAATGAACTCTGATTCCTATGTTTTGTGTAAAGGCCAGTTATCCACCATTACAGCCAAAATTGGAGGGAGGCACTACCCAGTTTCTGTCAGCAGATCCAGAGCTAGTGTCCCAGAGGAGAAAAAAATATCAACAGAATTGTTCACATTTCTCCACACCTGCAGCCCACCTGTTGCCATGATGAAAGAAGGACAGCACAGGATCCCCTCTGGCATTAGATTTTATCACCTTCAGACAGTTGCCATTGAGAAAATTGTAAATGCGAATCTTTCCATCTGCACAGGCACTGATGACTCGGAGATAGAGAAGGGAAACATGGAGCACCTCCCTGGAAGGGAACAGAATAACAGGCAAGCAGAAAATGCCTTCAGGAAACTACTTGGGTTTGTTTGCAATGTGGGGTGTTTTGTTTATGACTGGGAGTTGTGACTGGCAATAGCCATAACTGTCCTCCAAGTGATGTTTCCGTCATTTTAATAATTGTGGGTATAAACCACTAATGCTCAGACATAACTCTTCCCATTCCGCTGTTACTTTTCCTGCAATTCAGCCATAGGGCCACAGGTGACAAAACAAAAGGGCTTATGTCATAGATTATGGGGGAGAACGGGAAATCTAATAGATGATCATGGGAGGTATTTTTCTTGCAATTTGATTCCTATTTATTTATACAAAAGTCATGGTGAGAATTATTTAATTTTTTGATTGCTTTTAAAATAGTATTATATTTTTAAAAGGATAATTTGTATATAAAGCAGAAACCTGAAATTTGGCAGTTTCTTTTCGGTCTCAAATTAGCTGTTTTCATTCTTTCAATGAATAAACATCCTTAAATCCTTAAGGAAAACTGAAGTAGGGATGGGATTTATGGGTATCCTTTGTGATGACTAGATGTCTCTAACCACAGCAGCTGGATATAAATTGTACCCCAGATAGGTGGTATAATTCTGACAAGTAAAATTATTCCATTCCTATCAATGACACTGAAAAGTTGAATTTGATGCCACTAACTTGTGAGTCCAATATGCAAAGCATATCCATTAGTACCTATCATCTCTACCCAGCCAAGTTTGCTCCAGCTTCCACATGGTTTAAATGTGTTGCCGAGTGGTTCCTGTGCTAGAAGCTTGGTCCTCCAAGACATCAGGGTTGAGAAGTGGGTAACCTTTAAGAAGTAAAACTTAAGTAGAAGGTGCTCAGGTCACTAGAGGCACTGTCTTCAGAAATAATCAGTGTAGTTTTCACAGAACCCCAGTTTGTTCCTGCACAAGTTGGTTGTTGGAATGCAAGGCTGCAGTTGCTTGGCCCACCCTATATGGGCCTGGTTCCTTTTCTGTTCTCTTCCTTGGATGTGATGCATCCAAGCAGGGCCCTTGCCAGAGGTTTAATAGATAAGATTGCTTGATTTTGGACTTTCAGCCTCCAAAACTGTAAAGCTTTTTCTTTATCACTTTTATCACTCTTCTCTTTATAAATTAACAAGCTTCAGGGATTTTGTTATAGTAACAGAAAATGGACTAAAACAACATCCATCTATGGTCTAGCTCATGTATCCAAAAACCATCTCTTATCTCCACTGCCTCTCCACAACACATATGCACAAACTTCAGGTATACTGTCAGATCTGGGGGAATGCAACTCATGTCATAGACATTGCTACATGACCAGCACCTAGCACAATGCCTATCCTACTATAGGTACTCAACATATATTTGTTGAAGGGGCTGGGGATTTAGCTCAGCGGCAAAGCGCCTGCCTGGCAAGCGCAAGGTCATGAGTTCGGTTCCCGGTTCCGGAGAAAAACCAAAAACCAAAAAACCGTATATTTGTTGAAAAATAACTGACTGGTCAGACTTTCAGAGTACGGTCATCACTACAAAGTGTTACAAGAATGACATCCACTCTGTACCATTTAGCCTTAGTCACAGTCAGATCCCAGGGTCAGGTGACAACTTTTCAACACCTTAATCACTGATATAACAAATAGTAAAAAGACCTCAAAGGGGAGATACATGCTCAGCATATTCAAATAAAAACAAGGAGGCCTGTGTGACTTGAATCCCTTGTGGGTGGGGCAGAGAAAGAGAAGCAGAGAGACAGAGACACTAAGCTGTAAAATAAGTATTTAAAAGCTAAAAAAAGTTCTAATTCCTTAGATGGAAATATAAGAACTATGTGGTACCATAAGCACACCTTATTCTGCCTACAAGGCAGATATGTGGGATTTTTTTTTTTTTTTTTTTATTTTTTTTTTTTTTTTAAAGGCAGATATCTGTTAAGCTCATTTCTTCAAAGGTTTGGGTCAACACTGGTATTTTTTGTGTAGTTGATCTATTTGTGACAATGGGCTATAGAGATCTCCCATTATAACTGTTTTGTGTTTATCTGATCAAGTTCTTTAAATAGATCAAACCTTTAGTTAGACAAATTTTTATTTAGACTAACCAAGAAAATAAAAGAGGAGTCAAAATACTAATGTCAGCACCACATGGAACATTTGTAATGACTAGTGGAAATACTCTGTAATTAGATAGTAATAATGGTTGTCAAGCAGTATGAATATACCCAAAACTATTGAATTGTACACTAAAGTGGCAAAGTTTGTGGTGTGTATGTTATATTCTAATTAAAAATTACAAAAAGTGTCATTATAATATGAACAATGGAAAAGACTTGGAAGAATAAAGCTATTTTAAAAGAAAATCTCAGAGAACAAAAGAAAATCTCAGAGAACAAAAGTTTTGCCAGAGATTATCATTTCTGTCAAACCTACTTTACATTCTCCAATTTCTTCTCTTCTGTCCATTCTCTTCCATACTATATTGAGAATCATAATTTTATTTAGGAAAAGTATCAACTCAAGAAAGATCTCTATGCCCAGTTCTTCTATCAAAGGACCGAGAGTAACTACGTCTGTTTTCTCATCTATGGCAGATCCAAAAGGTGGGTATCAATCCAATCATTAGAACTCTCCTGTAAAGCCATCTGTCACGTTAGTGCTTTTTACCAATTAGATACATTCCTTGAGCACTTATATCTACACAGCACTTACAGAGGTGTGGAGCACTTACAAAGTGTTGGTCGTGTCTTCCAGATGTCTATGACTTTTCTGTAACCATGCCAGAAACTAACCAGGAAAATAAAAGAGAACTAAGATGAATGAATGGAGTGTAGGTGGTTACTCAATGGCGGTGGCCATTGAACAGGTCTCATAGAAGAGGTGGAATGGATTTATGACACAGGAACACATTATTTCTCAATAAGTACATCCTATTGAATGCTGCTTAGAAGTTGTAATTTTCTTGTGACATCAAAAAGTTTGATTCCTTCTTTGAGATCAAGCCTTGCTAATCTAGATGACAAACTAAATGGCTTACTGATAGTCACCTAAGAGTTGAATGAATCACTGGACTCAGGGTCTAACCTGGCATCCACCTGTTAACAATGCAACATATATCACAGAGAAGCCTATAAAACCCAAGGTCGGAGCTGGGGTTATAGCTCAGTGGCACAAGTGCCTGCCTGGCAAGCGTGAGGTCCAAGGTTCAATTCCCGGTACAAAAAAAAAAAAACAAGGTCATGGCAGAATTCTTAATTCACCACAATAGTCTTCCAAAACAAGCTCAATTGTGACCTCACAATACTGTACTTTGTAATTGGTCCAACCAAGCAACAACACTAAATTTGAGTTAGATTGTAAAGTGAAACCCATTTGCAGTCCTGGATAGAACCTAGCCCACAGACTTTTTAAAAACTTTTTTTAAATCCTTCACTATTTAAACCTTGAGGACGTGGCTCATTTTAAGCTCTTATAAGAAAAGCTTCCTGGGATAAAAACCATTTCTAAGAATTTTAAGTTTATGGAGAGTTGGCATTGTTTGGGATGTTCTGCAAGTATTCACATGTTTGACAAACAACAGATGTAAATTTATCATGTGTGTCACAAGTATAAAATTTCGACGACTTCTCAAAGTCCACACTAGTAGTAGTATTTCTCAGGTGAAACAAATGAGGGTGGGAGAAGGAACAGAGAGTAGGTGGAAGGGAAATCAGAGGAACAGAGAGGATGAGAGGTCAGCAGAGAACAGAATGGTCTTCTCTGTCAGACCACAGTCTAGGAAGTGATGGGAAAAAGAGGGAACTTCTGTTTGTCAATCCTAGGTCCCCCACCACCTACTTTGGATGCTTAAAGGCCATCAGGCATCGCTCGTACTTTCCCACCATGCTCCAGGCCATGACCAAGCCATCAGCACTTCCTGAGAGAAGATGCCACTGGTCAAAGAAAAGGCATTTTACAGCTCCTTCATGTCCACTGAGATTCTGCAAGAAAAGATGTCACAGTTTTGAGACCTCCCTCAACCCTGACTCTTCCAAGGGCCAAAGCCAGAGGCTTCTTTAGATGGATCCCAAAGCCACAGTCCAACTATCCATGACTACCACTTACTTGGAATGACCCTGAGCTGATTTTATTTCTGCTCTAAAAACGCCAGAACAGTCTGTGCCTCCCTTTTTGCATAGCTCTTTCCATAGTTCAGGAGGAATGTGACTAGCCCCATCTTCCTAAAGCAACAGAAAGGGCCGAAAATCCCTCTCCTCTGCTGTCAGAGAGCAAAGGGTAAGGTGTTCCATCCTCAGCTCCTTGCCAAGACCCAGAGAGTATGGGTGTATACCCGTGCCTGCAAATGAAGTTCAATCACAAAAAAAGATTGATGGGAAAAGTCCCACAAACGAAGTCAGCCACTTTTCACTGTAAACTTGTGTTCCAGGCACAAATAATATCAAGCTACCACCCACTGAGGCCAAATCCAGGTCCAAATCCAGGAAGAACACAATTTGTGAACATTTGCTATGGTTTGGGTGTGTCCCATGCAATTCATGTATTGCAGTAAGTTAGTGGTATTTTCAGGTAGGACCTTCAGGAGGTGATTGTACCGTGAAGCCCTGCCTTGATGGATGAATTCATTTGTAGATTCATGGGTTGCTGTGGAAGTGGTTGCTTCGTTGCTTTGTTACAGCGAGCTCTATAACAAGAGTTCCTCTTGAGAAAGAAGGAAAAATATTATTTGTCCATGCCCTAATGTTTTCACCCTACTAAAAGAGCAAAGAGAAATAAAGAGTATTGTTCATTCCCTTAATTCATGCCAGAGTCACGGTAAAATACTGGGGAGAAAAAAAAAATTTTACCCTTGTTGCTGTTAAAAGGCCCTGAGACCCATCTATCTGGCTGAGGGAGTGGCGTTGTTACAGAAGACAGTTTATAGAGTTATAGAAACAGCTTTCCTCCACCAGCCCTATGACAAGGTGAGTCACAGTGTGGGCAGTGGAGCTCCTGACAGTGCACAGCTCAGAATGTCCCCCATGAGGACCTTTCCCTTTGGTGCTTCAGGGCCACCGTTATTGTGCCTGCAACTCAATTACTCCAGGATAGTCTGGGGACCTGGGGACACCATCTGTCTTCTTTAAGAGGAGGCCCCCACCCTCACCCCCAGCCTACGACCCGCTTACTTTCACTAGCTGGGCCGTGGCAATGTGCCACACTTTGACTGTCCCTCGCTCACAGCTGCTCACAATGTAGGTGTCATTGATCCTGGTAGCCAAGATGGGGTCTTTGTGTTTAAAGGTCTTCAGGCACTTCCCTGTCTCTACGTCCCATTCTAAAGGAGAGAAGCAGAGAGGAGAGAGAAGGGACAGGGAGAGGTAGAAAGGTTACAGTGGAGTTCTGCTCTCCATTACATCAGCAAGACTAGCTGAGCCCACTGAGTCAGACCCCAGCGGGTCTTCACCTGGTTGAACTACACACCTGCATTGCAGAGCTCCCTGACCAGGTGCACTTGGCAGAGGAAATGCACAGGACCTGGGCTCTGATCCTGGAAATAAATCGGGCCCCAGTACTTACCTGAATAAATCTACCCTTCATGCCTTGAAAATGCTTGCTATTGAGCAGATTTTATGAAAAGTCAAAACATAGGTCTAGTGTCCTCACCCCTCCCGGATGCTGTCTTCTTGACCCATACCTAAATATTACAAAAGATAAGGAAATTGTCCTCATGTTTTTAAATATTTCTGCATCTGAATTTTGGGTTTTATGGAGAAAGTAACACGGCTAGGAGTGGTTTAATGCTGCTTCTACACAGACTTAGGGCACCTGCCTTAGCATACCGTGGCTTTAGGTAAAGATGAGAGGGGCTGGGTGTGTGAGAATAGAGATAAAGAAAGAGGCTAAAAGTGGGAACCACACATTCAGGGATGGAAACTTTAAAATCCATTTCATTACCCCCCTCACCTTTGTCCTCAGACAACAGAACAAGGAACCCAAGACAAAATTATAACCATAGCTGAGATCTGCAAAACAGTGTCAATGAGCAAGGAATCTTTCAAAGAGCTGAACATACATTGCATCATCTTGATGAGATAGGTAGTATTATTATTGACCACTATAGAGATGAAGTAACTGAGGCACAGAGTTCACAAATATGCTCAGATTTGCAGAAGTGGAAAGCAACATTTGATATGAGTGTGGGGCCTCTGCTGCTGTCTATATTAGGTGAACCCTAAGTGTACATACGCTTTCCTTCACTGATTTTTAGTTATGAATCTTGACCAGTTCATAAGATTACCAATGGAAAAATTAAGAGGTTAAAGATTGATTGGCAAAGTGCCCTGGTGTAAAGAATTTTAAAAATAGGGAGTTACCTTTTAGGTCTCCACTGATCTCCTTTTTTATTTTATTTTGGTAGCCCAGGCAAGTAGGAAGAGCCTGGGGAAAGCAGGCAGGGTGGTGGCCAGGACCCCGATTAGGGTGAAGTGAGAGACATTTTGAGATTTTGTTCATC